CGTTTCTGCTAGTTTCTTATTTTTATTTCGAAAGTATTTAAAGAAAGAGGTAGCTCTATTTTTTGTTTATTGAATTAAATAAATCACTTCCAAGGAGTTTTTCTTCTCTTTTTTTTTTTTGAGTTAATTCATTGAGAAGAAATAATCTAATTATAAGTATAAAACGATAAGCTTTATTTGGGAGTCAAACGAGAATTTTTGTACATAATATTGCAATATTTTCACGCCTAACCTTTTCTTTCTCTCTTTCAAAAGATTCTCTTTGAAAAAGAAAAGTATTTCAAGACGTGTCTGTTACTGCGAAAATTAAAAATCAAAAGACCGATTTACTTGTTTTTTTTTTTTTTTTTTTTTTTTTTAAGGGCTGTTTAAAAGACTGAGCTTGTGTATCTCGATATAACGGTGGTGTCGTGCCTGTACATATTTTCTGTAATAGCGCTTTTTACAGCAACTTTTACTTTGAACTTTTCTTGAAACGGGTGAATGAAGAATGGCAAGGTTTTTCCTAGAAACTTTTTCCTAGAAACATTTAAGAGGAAAGATTGTATGGAAAATTATAATTATAAACCCAATTATTTTTTACATATAAATAAATCTTTATGCGAAAGTGATTAAATTATCTATAAATAGATCTTAAATCACCCTCGTATTAGCATATGAAATGTTCCTATAAACTCTAAATTTCATTTAAAGATAAAGAGCAAAAAAAGAAAACAGAGAATGTCACAAATCTCATTGAGAAAATTAATTCGAAAGTTCTTTACAGGTACAATAATATTATAGTATTTATTATAGTATACATAATAGTATTTTATACTGCAATATTTAGTAGTATAGTAATATTAATTTTATTTCTAAGCCTTTTAGAATTTGTATATACATCTTTTTCTTTTAGATTACCTCTGAATAATTTATTTTCAAATCTTCTAATAAACTAGGATATTAATATTAATAATTTGAATACAATTTTGTGACGTTTCTTGTTTCATCCTCTTACCACCTAAATATAATTTTGAAGTTTGATTGTTTCAAAAGTCTAATTTAGAAATTAAATGAATTTAAATATAATTTGGGACAGATATAGTTATTATATAATAAATGCATAACGTAAATATAATTTAGAATTAGAGTAAATTCCAATATTTGAAATTTAAATGAATATACGATCAATACGATCTAGAATTAGAATAAATTTCAGTAACAAATATATTGAAGAACGAATGCACAATATAAATATAATTTAAAATAAACTTCAATGTTTGGAACTTCAATTAAGTTCGAATGTAATTTAGAAATTATATCCATAGGTGTATCCTATATAATACATAGGTAATAGGTGTATCCTATATAATACATACGTCGCAAATTGCGCAACAACTGTATTTATCAGCTACTATTCCGACAGCTTCGTCTCTCCATTAGTGACAATAAATTGTAAGTTACTCGCTTCTAACAGGCTGTGTGACTTACCTTCTCCAAAGCGGTTTCTCCAAAATGCTCTCCTAGAAGCTCTTGCTAGTTTATAATACGTCGATCATTATCGACAAGTGGTAAGTAACTCTCCGAGGAGGGAAGCAGTCTTACAAGTTCTAATTAGAATCCCAAGTTTTCCTACAGCGAGCATCAACAACGTATATGACAACAAGCCGAGAAATATGAAAAAGATAGTGCAAAATTCATATTTTTTGAAAAACGTTTTCTGGAAAGTTTCGGTGAAAAATATTGTTCAACTTTTTTACTTTTCCTGTTACACTTTGCTGTTTGTTCTTAGGATGACGAAACTAAAATAAATATCATCGACAAGAAATTTTAGATGGCTATTAAAATTACTTATTTAGTTTAATAGGATATTTAATAAAATGCTAATTTAATAATTAATAATTTGAATAGAGTAATTTAATAAAATTAATTTAATAATTATTGCAATAATACTTAATGGTATTTAATAATCATTTAATAATTTAATAAAAATTTTAAACAATATTTTAAATAATACTGTAAAATGAAAATCCGCGTTTATTGCAATTATCGTAACGTAATGCTTTATAAAAGTTTTATTTAGTATTATTTACTTAAAATTTAAATATCGAATATTTCACGACTTAATTTTGCACGTGGAATAATCCTATTTATTTATCTTTATTTTTGCATATAGACGTATCGATCCTGAAGTATCCCGTGCCCAATGATGAGCTCGTTCGAATTAAAATTCTGTGTTTAAAAAGAAAATCAATTTCTTTTTAATTATCTTTTATTTACTTTTAACAGACTAGCGAATTTTCGTATATTTCTAAGAAATTTCTAATGGAATATTTGAATATATCTTTAGAAAATAATTCCTTAAGATAATACATTATTCATTTTTGTTCATGAATGAAATCCTCTCTACGAGATGACTGTATGTATGTTTCGATCTCTTCTTAAAAATAATATTTATTATTATCAATTAGTATTTATTTCCTCTCCTTACATTTCACAGTTAATTCCTTTTCGAAGCAATAATCATCAAAAATATTCGATGGAACTTTTCGAATACTATTTTAAGCAATAATTTCTAACACGGCTTGAGCAATTATTTCAATTTAATCCGTATGTGTGAATAATTTCGATAAATAATCGCATGTATCACATGTCGAATAAAATAAATATTCAAGTAGTATTTCATTTCAGTGGCAGTATTTCCAATTATTGTTTCAGATGTGCCACGTGCTCATAAAAAATAATATAAAACGATATAGTCTGAGACGTTGAAATTTGACAGAAGTCGCTGGGCTTATCAGCTCCTCTCGCGATGGAATCACGATTTTCAATCTCTTGGATTAGGCATCGTCGTCGCAAGTAGCATTCGATTGTGCTGTTTCGATGACTCTTGGCAACGATTCACACGGAAATCGGCTTACACGCGGAATGGGGACATCGAACCTTGTATACTAGTGCCTTCTGGATTCGTTTTCAGTAAAAATGCGGGATGTTAGCAACGTTTTCTGTCATTTTTGTATGATCGAGTGCATCGAAAACAGATTATTCTTCCATTGAATTCCTTCCTTTCTTTTTTTTTTGGATTAGTATATAAAATAAAATAAAATAATTAAAATAGACAATAGTTTATAAAATTGATGAAATTTGTTTAGTTTTCGTAGAGGTTACCAAAACTACTACATCAAAATGATCAAATTCCTATTAGAAATTTTACAGATGTAGAACAATGTATTTTCAGAGATTTAAGTGATTTTTTTGTTTACTTCAATGCCTTTGAAATTTCGTGCTTTGGTGTTAAAAATACTAAAGAAATAAAAATTCATTGATTCATTGACAGTATTTATAATTGTCTTATAAATATTTAATTGTACGATTCAATATTTCCTTTCGTATTATTATTATTTTATTATATATTAATAACGAAAATTGTCCCAGCTTTCACGACATGAAAAATCCACAAGAACGATGATCGGTCGAGTCAGTGTTGTGCGTCGAACAGCACGATAAATCAAAAATCCACAAACGTTAGTTAAATACTAACTGCGAAGCAATAGACAGACGCGAGCCTGTATAAACGAAGGGGAAATAGGAGTGGAAGGAAAGCTGAAGAACTCTTGAAAGACAAGATATATGTGTTCAAGGATGTACATAACTCGATAGGTGGAGGATTTTGAGACTACTGGCAAACAGTTTTAGATTGAAGAGGTCTTACTTGTCGTCTTGTATTTGTCGACGGCAAACGCTTATCTTGTAAATATGTTTCAACGATCGACTTGAATCCCTTCTCTAAAATTGTTATTTGTTTGTTATTCAAATTTATTTATTTATTGTATTTAATGACTACAAGTGCTGTTAAATAATATTTACCAGACGTCGATTTTCAAGCTCGATGTTGATGTAATTCAACGTGATTTGTATTTTGTCGATTATTTATTAAGCTTCAATCTAACGAATTAAGAGTTGCTCGTAATACTAATACAGGTTGTTTCAAAAGATAAATTAACAGAACGACTAATTATTCCTGTTAAATTAATTTCTAAAATTTATTACAATGAAAATAATTAATCTTCTGTTTCTCAGTTTATTTTTAAATACAAGTTATTAATATCCACTGGCAGAAAATTCTTATCGAATAATAAATTGTCGATATTAACAATTTACATTTTGATTACTCGCAGTGAGAAATGTCACAAATGAAGTTGAATGACTTCATTCTGATAATTTTCGTAAGTGGACACATTATGGACTTCAGTTTTGTTTTTTTTTTAACGAAACTATATATTTTTTAATGCATCAATCGACACAATGCAATTTGACATTCTCTATAAAAAGGTATTAATTCCTTTGCGAAAGAAATTAATTTAATTTTCTGTAAAATACAATATCATATCAAAGATATAATCGGAAATATAAAAAACAGTGTTTGAGCTTATATTATCTTTATTTTTCACACAATGTTAAAAAATCTAGATTAATAATTTTTTTCACAGAGAATATCGAGTTACGTTGATTGATATATTTTAAAAAATATACAGTTTCATTCAAAAAAATACAGTTGATCCTCGCATGATCTTTACACATTCTCTCTCGAGGAAATAACAAGTAACATCGCGATGTCAAAATGAGACTAGACAGATAAAAGAGTGATAATACCAAAGAATAGTCTTTGATTCACTGATTCATTTACTTGCTGACGAGCAATTTAACTCTCCAGCCGCGAGATCCCAGACCCCCCAAAGAAAGTCGCTCGTTCTCGCAAGAGCGAATGCGATTTCCTTCTATTATCGCGGACTTTATTCTCGGCAGGTATCGAATCGATAAGAAGTCCATGGGAACCCGCAAATTGCGACGCAAACGACAATATAACCGACCGAGCGAGACACATTCGAACCCCGTCTTAGCACCGAGCTTAGCAGATCGGTTTCCATCAACCACGGCGTGTCATCGTGTCCTCGTTTTCTCATTGCAGGCCGCGTGGGTTTCTCTGAGTCGGGACCGGCGATAGCAGAGCCGCGATCAAAATGAGCATACTAAACACGGATTCGGAGAACCGCGTGATCCTGAACGTGGGCGGTATCCGGCACGAGACGTACAAGGCCACCCTGAAGAAGATCCCCGCGACAAGGCTGTCAAAGTTGACCGAGGCACTGGGCAACTACGACCCGATCCTCAACGAGTACTTCTTCGACAGGCATCCGGGGGTCTTCGCCCAGGTGCTCAATTACTATCGCACCGGCAAGCTCCACTATCCGACCGACGTGTGCGGGCCGTTGTTCGAGGAGGAGCTGGACTTTTGGGGCCTCGACTCCAATCAGGTGGAGCCATGTTGCTGGATGACGTACACCCAGGTACATATATACACGCATCGACCGTCGATCCATCGAGCTTTCGGTTTCGCTTTTCGTTTATTGTCGGCTTGTGTGTTCACTTGCGTTTGTCACTCGTAGAGTTGCGGATGCGGCTTCAGAGACGAAAGATTTGTTAATTTTAAGCTTCAAATTTTCTCAATTTTTTGATCTTTTGAATTTATGTTTCTGCTAAAGGAAAATTTCTTTTTTTTTTTTTACTTTAGGAATTGTTAGTTCAGGCTTGGCAAAGTTTTACTTTCGATTGAAGGATTGGTGAATTAGATTAGGCAAAGTTTTATTCTTGGGATCTCTATTTTCAAGCAACTGTTGAGTTAGATTAAATGAAGTTTTACTCTTATTTTCAAGCAATTGTTAGGTAAAGTTTTCAATGAAAATATATTATTTTCAATAAAATATTATTTTCTTTGAACTAGATTAAGTGTAGCCTAAATTAAGCAAGCTTCATTTGCAATTTAGTATCCACAGAATGTCGCTTAAGAGAAAAGTGAACTCAAGAAATGCATGAATTCCGAAGTAAAAAATTTTTTGGCCTCTCAACGTGTAAATGTCTCTTATAACTTTTAATTAATAATTTAATCTGTAGATGTAGTCTTATAATTAATAATCATTCCATGTATTATTTCAAGATAGAAAAAAAATAATTGAAAATTTATCGAATTTTAATTATTATTTTCACCTCCTACTAAAGCGTGTCTTTTATTATTTGAAAAACTAGAAATGTAGCTTCGAAGGATTATAATAATGAAAAAATTACTTGTACAAAGTGTTT